GTAGATTGAACTGTATCATTGTTTAATAGATGTCCTAGAGTGTCCTGATGCTCTGTTTCCTTCTGTAGCATTGAAGTATCATGCCTGAATGCTTGAATAGTCTGATCAATCATTCCTAATTCATTATCACTCTGATATTTGCTAGCTGTATGTGTATTGCCTTCACTTTCCCTTGAAGCAGTGTGATAATCTGTTTGAGCAGATTGAGCAGATTGAGTAGGTTGTCCAGGTTCCAAACCTGTTCTCTGGCTTGAAGTCACCCTCTGAACTTCTGTACTTTGTTCCATACAATGTGTATCTGTTCCTGATCTTAATAGTGTCTTACTATCATTATGTTACATAGATCATAGTGGTTTTACATCCTGTAGATTGTAATTGTCATCCTGTAGCTTGAATAACTCAATTCTTACTATGTATCCTGAGTATATACATGCTAGCACATCTGTTTGAGTGCCTGTGATGCTCATAATATGTCTAATAAAGTATCCTGAGTCTATTCTAATGAATCCTGACTGTCTGAAGGTGTATTTTGCAATGTAATACCTTATGTTCTCCTGAAACTGTGTTCTGTACAATATATCCTTGTAGTCTGAGCTGGTTCTAACGTTTTCCAACAGTTCTTTGTTATGAACTGAATAGTTCTGTAGCATAACATCCAATTGTACCTTATAGAACAATGTTCTATACAAATTACTTCAATCGTACTCATTACTGACTGTTTCTTCAATCCTGAAGATGGAAATGTCTGTTCTAATGTCAACTGACATAGTTCCTTTGTAGTACTCGATACTAATCCTGTATCTCTTCCTGTACTGAATAGAATTGACTGTGTATGTATATGTCTGTGTCTTTCTATTACTGTCAATGTATCTCCATGCCTGATACTTATTCTGGAGTAGTATCATCTTATCCCTAATGTATATGCACTTTTCCTTGCTCAATGTACTGATGTCTGTCTTCTGATGCATAATGTAGTCTTCTAACTTAATAGAATACCTGTGTGAATCGTTTAGATTGAAATATTTCTTAGTATCCAAGAGTAGTCATAGTTTATAGTCTAGTAATGCTTGATAGATTGTCCTGCTTGTACAGTTTACTATTTGCATTGTCTTGTAAACCATAATACTATCTGGCTGGTTATATTCTGATCTTCTAACATTCTCAGGTCCTTTCCTGATGTCCTGGTACACATTCCTGTTGTCTGTGAACAGTCTATATTTCTTAAGAGTGTTGTTTCAATTTGTGGCTCTAAGAATTGGTAGTAGTGTCTCTGAAATGTCCATGTATGTGTTGCCTTACACCTGTAGCATCTTAGAATCCTTGAAACAATAGTTGTATGTGTGTTTCCTAGTCCTTTCCATGTGCTATACGTATCTGTAGTCTTGTAGAATCCTTTCTACACTGTATGCCTGTGCTTTTGAGTGTAAAATGTTATTGTATGTACTATACAATTGTCTATCTCAATGTTTAGACTTCCTGTGATGTTTATTCCTGTACTGAATGCCTGTAGTATGATGCCTAAGTGCTGTAGTCTCATAGGGTCTCAAATATACTGAATTTGCCCTTTCAAATACATTGTTTGCATGCCTGAACTTGTGTTCTGTTTCTTCCTCAAGTGTTTCTTACACTTCTTAGTAGCCTCTGTATCACTCGAATCAATGTCTGACAGTTTGAATAAAACATTACTTTGATTGTAGTCATTGGATGAAGAGGAATCTGAATTATCACTGTCTGGGTCTGATCCTAGGTCAAAATTTCCCTTTCTCTGTATCTTAGAGCTCTGTATTGCTCTGTATGTATAGCTATTCTTTGCTAGGCTCTCTGAAGGTCTTACTGATGTGAATCTGCCTTTCTGAACATTATTTGATGCTTCACTATGCTTGTGTCCATTGTTTGTTCTTGAACTACTGTTTGAGCTATTCTTATACTTGCTACACTCAATATGTGGCTTTGAACTGTGTAGTTTACTACACTCTGAATCAATATTGTTCTCACTAATACTACTAGTGTATGCCTTGCCTGGGACTGCTTTCAATTGCAAAGTATTGTTATAGGATTGTTTGTTCCTTTTATTTTTGTAAGGGATACTCTGATGTCCTGAAAAACTTGGTATTTCCATTTGAGACCACATATATCCAGGTATTTTGCTTTCTCTCTTATTCCTAGACCTGGCTAGGGTGTTGTATCCATTGTAGTACTCCTGTACATTGCTCCTGTGTAATGTGTAGTTGATATCTACTATGTATGAGGTTAAACACTTGATTTTGTGGGTGTATGCTTGATTTTTGCTCTCTGGATCAAGTACTGATCCTTGTAGTTCCAATATGTGTTCACTTTTGCTATCCTCAAAGTACTGTTCTGTTGATGTGATGTCTGTTTTGCTTGGATAGTCTGAATCGATTTCACAATTGTATTGAATGCCTGACAGTTCCAGTTTTCGTTCCATTCCTTGCACTTTGTGTATTCCTTTTGCTTTGTGCTTTCCTTTTGCTTTCTACAAATGTAATCGTTTGTCTGGACTCTTGAGTGTTTCTTCTACACTCTTAGATTGATAGTTCTGATCTCTATTGTCTGTAGGTACTATAGCATGTCTGGCTTTCGTTCTGTAGCCTGCCTGAAGTGTTTCACACTTTTCTGTTACTATACTATTGAGTCTACTCTTGTTTGATGAAGGAGTTGCTTTCTCCTCTTCCTGATACATTCTATTGAACTTGTACATTCTCTTATTCAAATCTTTGATGTCTATCAAACTGTGGAATGGGCTGACATGTCCTATGTCTATCTCAATTGCTCTGACTCTTGCAATGTGTCTGAAGGTCTTACTTGCCTTCTGGAAATCTTGTTCCTCATCAATTCTCTGTAGTTTCAATGCCTAGCTCTCCTAGCCTTTGTTACTCTTGTTCTTTGAGTCCTGGCTACTTTCTTTGCTGTCTAAAAGGGTCTTAAGTGTCTCATTGCCCTCTACATCACTGTTGTCAATGTGTTTCTGTTCTGAAGTAAGTGTGCTCACTAGATACTTATCTACACTCTCACTAATACTGACTATATGTACTCTGTAACTCTTGTACTAGCTTGCAAATTCTTCAATGCTTGCTATTAGCTCTCTATGTTGACTTGGTGAATCCTCAAACCAAATTGCCTGTCCTCTATCAAGTGAATCCTCAAACTTGGTAGCCTGAAATTGATAGAGCAAATCCTCAAGCTCAATTGCCTGTACTCAGTGAGTTGAATCCTCAAACTCGACCTTCTGTACTTGATTGGACGAATCCTCAAATCCAATTGCCTGTTCATCCTGAACTCGACTGTCTGAATCCTTAAGAACAATTGCCTGAGTGTTTCTGCTCTCTGTACCTTTGTTTGCTATTTCTTTGAGCCTAGTAGTGTGAATACTTGCTAGTGTCTGCTCTACAGTGTGTGTTTGTCTAACTATATGTACTGGTACAGTTACATGCCTTAGTTCTACATTATTAGTATGTACTAGTTCATCAGGGTGCCTCCAGCCTTGTGTAGACAAGGACTTATCACCTGGTATAGGTTCATTAGGTTGCCTCCAGCCTATGAGGGACAAGGACTTACTTCCTAGCATGTTAATGTTGATATTCAGACTTGGGTACCCTCCAGGAATTGTCAGTCAAGGCTTGGTGGCCACATTGTAATCAATATTCAATGGGTAATCTTGTTGTCCATTACATGTAAACTTGATGCACACCTGTTTGTTCCTTTTCACTGTCACAGATGCCTGGTCCTTGACCCATCCAATTGATGCAAACCTCTAGTGTATCCAGTACTGGTCCATATCAATATGTGCTAATGTGTTCCAGAAGCATTCCACAGTGTTCTGAAGCATTGTGAACCTACTGAGGGCCAATCCAGTAAGTAGTCTCTGTTTCTACTCGAAAATTGTAACTTTACTCACTAAAATTCCTGAGGGGTACTAGACAATGAGGGAGACCTAGGGTTGATCAGACCCTTTGGTCCCTCAGTGTCCAGCAAGGGGTTTCAGTACTAGGTGGGTACAGTCAAAAATATGTAAGGAAACTCACTGTTCCTTACAAGAGAATTCTAATCGCCCTTAGTTCACTCGACTACTGACTGGGATAACCTAGTACTTGAGTGAGGGGTCAGGGGAAAAGAATCCCCTTTACCCAGCAGTCAATACTGTCTTTTATAGGGGTATACATGTGTAGATACATGAGGAGAAAGTGTAACTAACTACAATGAGAATATATGTGCTTGTGGGTCCTACTGTGTAATGATCTGACACAATCAGTAATGTAGTAATAATAAAATACAAACTAGTAAATCAAATCCTTACAGTTTACAACATGATGCAAATAGTAAACTGTACAAGCAGGACAATCTATCAAGCATTACTGGACTATAAACTACAACTACTCTTGGATACTAAGAAATATTTCAATCTAAACAATTCACACAGATATTCTATTAAGTTAAAAGGCTACATCATACATTGGAAGACAGACATCAGCACATTGAGCAAGGCAAAGTGTATATACATTAAGAATACAATGATACAGTTTCAGAATAAGTATCAGGCATGGAGATACATTGACAGCAATAAAAAGACACAGACATACACATACACAGTCGATTCTATTCAGTATAGGAAGGTATTCAAAAGCAAAGAACTGCTTCAGACAATTTCAGGACCAGGAGAATGTTCAGACATTCAGGCATATTGATTCTACAACATTGGAACAGACATTTCCATCTTTAGGATTGAAGAAACAATCAGTACAGAGCACAGTTGAAGTAATTTGCATAGAACAACATTCTATAAGGTACAATTGGATGTTACACTACAAAACTATTCAGTTCATGACAAAGAATTGTTTAGAAACGTCAGAACCAGATTAGAATACAAGGATCTATGGTATACATTGTATCTACAGTAGAACATAAGGTATTACATTGTGAAATACACCTTCAGACAGTCAGGATTCATTAGAATAGACTCAGGACACTCTATCAGACATATTATGGACATCACAAGCACTCAAACAGATGCACTAGTGTGTATATACTCAGGATACATAGTAAGAATCAAGATATTCAAGCTACAGGAGGACAATTACAACCTACAGGATGTAAAACTGTTACAATCTTTGTACTATAATGATAGTAAGACACTACTGAGATCAGGAATGGATACACATTGTATGGAACAAAGTACAGAAGTTTAGAGGGCAACTTCAAGCCAGAGAACAGGTTTGGAACCTAGACAATCTACTCAATCTACTCAATCCACTCAAACAGATTATCACACTGCTTTAAGGGAAAGCAAAGGCAATACACATACAGCCAGCAAATATTAGAGCAATAGTGGATTAGGAATGATCAAACAGACTATTCAAGTACACAGGAATGATATTTCAGCACTACAGAAGGAAATAGAGTATCAGGAAGCTCTAGGACATCTATTGAATGATGATACAGTTCAATCTACTCTAGGAATGAGTAGTTACAATCAGTTTGAAGTACAAAATCATGCAGAAGACCTCTCCAGACACTACAGATATGTTCTAGGACAGTACCAGACATTTTACACTGAAAATGAAGTCATATTTCGATGAGAGGGCAAGAGGCACACACATTACATTGTATACACACTCTTTAGGCATACAACCTACAGGTTTGAACATACAATTTTTCTTACTTGAGATACTACAGAACAATTTTACAAAGGACTTTGCAGGACCAGACAGTATTAGTACTACAGGAAACAGGACACATGATAGGTACATAAGGAAAGAATACATTAGAACAAGGACAAGGACACAGAAAGACAGGAAGTCAATGCTAGAACACATTGATTCACACATGGATTTGCCAAATGAACAAGGAATTGGCAGCATATACTCAGGACTTCAGGCAGCACCACTGTGCATACAGACAGGACATTTCATTAAGACATGTATGGAACAACACAGTATACAGACAGCTACAGCACTCAGGAAAGTAGAGAATGCTACTTGGACACATTGTGATAGAACATTACACTATAAGACAGCAAAAGTATACTCAGATGATTCAGGAATCGAATCAATCAACTTACAAAGGTACAAACAAGTCGAGACACAAGGAAACAGTATGAGAATACAGTAGGACATTCATCACACACAGAGATACTGTGTATATACACACATATCTAGTGATATTAGGCTCATACCTTACAATTTCATTGAAATCAAGACAATATTTTCATTCAAGGACAGATATTACACTCTAGGTTGTACTCTACAATTAGTATTTGAACATTAGACTCAACAGGATATCCAGTTTTGTATCACAGTTCATTATTGTAAGCAAAAGAGTACATATTTGGAGACATTCTACTAATACGAGTGCAAGGCACTACATTTGCAGGAACTAGTCTATTGGAAAAATCAAGGACATAGTAGAGGAATTTTGGAATACATCTCTACTATCTATTATTGTATGACTATTCTACAGAAGCAGAGAAACACACAAGGACAGTTAGAAGCCACAATGCTAATACATTCTATTGAGGAAGAAGGCTATAGCTTTGTTGATCAGGGATTTACCTCTACACTTCCTAAAGATGTAGGAGAAGAGAATATTTGCAATTACCACACTGCCAGAATTTCCACTTCTGTACATATTAATCTACACTGTATGTCTCAGAATACTCAACTGCTGAAACACTATATCTCCCCAGGAACCCTACTGATTCTCTTCAAAAAGTGTTGTATTGATAGCAACAATCAAGAGGCAACTTTTCTACTAATTGACTATATGGTAATATTGACTATGTTTAATTCTATTGACGTTTATCTAGTTTCACATAGTTTGGAACCATACTACTTACTGTCCAGAACACTACTACTGTCTCAATACACACCAGATCGACTTCGGATCACTTCAGAGAGGTAGTGATACATTACAAGGATGTTTCCCATATGTATGGGCAAGGTATTTTTTTATTTACTTGTTACTAACTGTTACTTTTAAGTAAGTTTTCCACCTTTTCTACTAATTTTTAGCATTTAGGACTAAATGCTAGAGGGCGAGTGTAAGGATTTGATTTACTGGTTCGTATTTTATTATCACTACATTGCTAATTGTATCAGATCATTGTACAGTGGGACCCACAAGCACATATATTCTCATTGTAGTTAGTTACACTTCCTCCTCATGTATCTACACGTGTATACCCCTATAAAAGACAGTATTGACTGCTGGGTAAAGGGGATTCTTTTCCCCTGACCCCTCACTCGAGTACTAGGTTATCCCAGTCAGTAGTCGAGTGAACTAAGGGTGATTAGAATTCTCTTGTGAGGAACAGTGAGTTTCCTTACAAGTTCTTTGTTCTGTTTCTTCCTCAAGTGTTTCTTACACTTCTTAGTAGCTTCAGTATTGCTTGAATTAATGTCTGATAGTTTGAATAAAGTATTACTTTGATTATTGTCATTGGATGAAGAGGAATCTGAATTATTACTGTCTGGGTCTGATTCTAGGTTGAAATTTCCCTTTTTCTGTCTTCTAGAGCTCTGAATTGCTCTGTATGTGTAGCTATTCTTTGCTAGGCTCTCTGAATGTCTTACTAATGCAAATATACCTTTCTGAACATTATTTGATGCTTCACTATGCCTATGTCCATTGTTTGTTCTTAAACTATAGTTGGAGCTATTCTTATACTTACTATACTTAATATGTAGCTTTGAACTGTATAGTTTGCTACACTCTGAATCAATATTGTTCTTACTAATACTACTAGTGTTTGCCTTGCCTGGGACTGCTTTCAATTGTAAAGTATTGCTATGGGATTGTTTGTTTACTGATTTAATGTAATGTATACTCTGATACTCTGAAAAACTTAGTATTTCTATTTAAGACTGTATATATCCAGGTATTTTACTTTCTCTCTTATTCCTAGACCTGGCTAGGGTGTTGTATCCATTGTAGTACTCCTGTACATTGCTCCTGTGTAATGTGTAGTCAATATCTACCATGTATAAGGTTAAACACTTGATTTTGTAGGTGTATGCTTGATTTTCACTCTCTAAATCAAGTACTAATCCTTATAGTTCCAATTTGTATTCACTTTTACTATCCTTAAAGTACTGTTCTGTTTATGTGATGTCTGTTTTGCTTGGATAGTCTGAATCGATTTTACAATTGTATTGAATGTCTAACAGTTCCAGTTTTCATTCTATTCCTTACACTTTGTATATTCCTCTTACTTTGTACTGTCCTTTTACTTTCTACAAATGTGATTGTTTGTCTAGACTCTTGAGCATTTCTTCTACACTGTTAGATTGATGGTTCTGATCTCTATTGTCTATAGGTACTATAGTATGTCTGGCTTTTGTTCTATAGCCTGCCTGAAGTGTTTCACACTTTTCTATTACTATACTATTAAGTCTACTCTTGTTTGATAAAGGAGTTGCTTTCTCCTCTTCCTAGTACATTCTATCAAACTTGTATGTTCTCTTATTCAAATCCTCAATGTCTATCAAACTGTAGAATGGGCTAACATGTCCTATGTTTATTCTAATTACTCTAGCTCTTACAATGTGTCTGAAGGTCTTACTTACCTTCTAAAAGTCTTGTTCCTTATTAGATCTCTGTAGTTTTGATACCTAGCTCTCCTAGCCTTTGTTACTCTTGTGTTCTAAGTCCTGACTGCTTTCTTTACTATCTAAAAGGGTCTTAAGTGTCTGATTACCCTCTATATTACTGTTGTTAATGTGTTTCTGTTCTAAAGTAAGTGTACTCACTAGATACTCATCCACACTCTTACTAATACTAACTATATGTGTAATAGAATCTATACTATCTTCCTGTATACTTGCTTTTGTTAATTGACTGGCTGAATCCTCAAAACCAATTACTTGTTCTCTATTAAGTGAATCCTCAAACTTGGTAGCCTAAAATTGATTGAGCAAATCCTTAAGCTCAATTGTCTGTACTTGGTCAGTTGAATCCTTAAACCCAACCTTCTGTACTTGATTGGATGAATCCTTGAATCTAATTACTTGAGCATTTCTACTCTCTGTACTACTATTTGCTATTTCTCTAAGTCTAGTAAGGTTAATACTTACTAGTGTCTACTCTACAGTACATGTTTGTCTAACTATATATGCTGGTACAGTTATATACCTTAGTTCTATGTTACTAGTATGTAGTAGTTTATTAGGGTGCCTCTAACCTTGTGTAGACAAGGACTTATCACCTGAAATAAGTTTATTAGATTGTCTCTAGCTTACAAGGGATAAGGACTTACATTCTAGTATGTTAGTATTAATATCCAGACTTGGGTACCCTCTAGGAATTGTCTGTCAAGGCTTGACAGTCACATTGTAATTAATATCTAATAGATAATCTTATTGTCTATTACCTGTAAACTTAATACACACCTGTTTGTTCCTTTTCACTTTTACAGATGCCTGGTCCTCAACCCATCTAATTAATACAACCTCTAGTGTATCTAGTACTAGTCTATATTAATATGTTTCAATGTGTTCCAGAAGTGTTCTACAGTGTTCTAAAGTATTGTGAACCTACTAGAGACTAATCTAGTAAGTAATCTCTGTTTCTACTCAAAAATTGTAACTTTACTCACTAATAATTCCTAAGGGGTACTAGACAATGAGGGAGACCTAGGGTTGATTAGACCCTTTAGTTCCTCAGTATCTAGTAAGGGGTTTTGATACTAAGTGGGTACAGTCAAAAATATGTAAGGAAACTTACTGTTCCTTACAAGAGAATTCTAATTACCCTTAGTTTACTTAACTACTAACTAGGATAACTTAGTACTTGAGTAAGGGGTCAGGGGAAAAGAATCCTCTTTACCTAGCAATCAATACTGTCTTTTATAAGAGTATACATGTGTAGATACATAAGGAGGAAGTGTAACTAACTATAATAAGAATATATATACTTGTAGGTCCTACTGTATAATAATCTGACACAATCAGTAATGTAGTAATAATAAAATACAAACTAGTAAATCAAATCCTTACAAAAGGTAACAAAACCTGTATACAAGATCTTTATCTCTGTCAGATCAAATACATACTCTAGTACAGTATTACTTAGTAACCTTAATCAAAGATAAGTCATTTAGTAGAATGCTTGTATAGAGAGAGGATCAGGAAAGAGTATAATGTCTAAGTAAGACATAGGAAAAGACTAGAAGAAAACCTGTTTAAAAGAGATAAAAGGAAAAGATCATTACTTACTTAATAAAGGAGAAACTACATAGCTAGCTAGGAATGCTTTATACAAAGACAAAGGACTATTAGAGCTAGTAAAGAGTTAGAGCTAGTACTCTAAAGCTCTATACTTGAGGAGGACTAGTACTAGTGTAAAGGAAAAGAAACTGAGAGCTCTAAGGAGAGACTTTAGGAAAGTAGTCTCTTATATACACTTTACTTATATAGATAGGAAAGTAATAAAGTTATAATATAAGGAATATATGAGACAATCTAGAACTCTAGTTGTAAGTTCTAGGATTGAATACAGAAGTACAAAGATAAGGTTAGAAGTTAATAAGGATAATTGTCTCCTAAACTAAGTTAATTAAAGAAGACTTAAGGAAAGACTTAGAACTCTAGTTGTTAGTTCTAGAGTATACATAAGACAGTCTAGAACTCTGGTTGTAAGTTCTAGAGACAGTACAAAGTAACAGCCTTTTATATTGCAGAAGTTATAAGGAGTCATTAGAAGTCATAATACTTCACCTTATAAGAAAGTGTATTACAAACTAGTGTACAAGAAGTACAGGTTGAGTCAGACAGAGTTATAAGAAGACTATAGAACAATAGAAAGCTCTACTTTATAGGAAAAGTATTACACAGCTTAGAAAGTATAACTAGTTAGAAGGACTCATAATAAGTTATTAGAAGCTTGAGAGAAAGTATGAAAGACATAACAATACAGTAAAGGAGTTATTAGAAGATTAATCTAGAATACAAGAAGACACAAACTAGTGTAGTATACAGTTTAAAGGATTAGCCAGCTCTACTTTATAGGAACAACAGTAAAGGGAGTTACTAAAGTCACTAGAGTAACATTACTCTAGTAAAAGGTATATAAGGAGACTAGTTTGGCCCTTAAAAGTAGTTTTATCAACTTAAGTTACCTAGTACTTAGAAGTACTCTACTCTCAACCTACTAGGCTACACTTGTAGCTTAACTAAAGTAGGACTCCTCTACCCTCTTATTATACAAGTCTACAAGTCTTACCCTCTATACTCTATTCTGTTACTATTCCTGACAATCAGGACTAGTAAAGTAAGTATATTGTAAAGGCTGGAGCCTTACTCAAGAACACAGAACAGGCAAAGACCTGGGATTGATAAGAGGTCAACCTAAGTACAGGAGCAAGTACAAAGATAATCTCTAAGTGTCTACAAATAGCCCTTTATATACTTAACTAAAGTCATGTGTGTAACCTCAGAGGTTACACTCTTCCCTACTCTGAAGAAATAAAAGGAGGGGGTAGGGAAGTAATTAATGGAGAGGCAAAGGAAAGGATATAGTAAGGGGAGGGGGAGGTAAAATGGAAGATTATAGTAAGGGGGGGGGAGGGGAAATACAAAAGGGTAAGGACAGAAGACAAGGAACACACAGTCACAAGTTTAAGAAGGCTTCAACTCATTAATGAAAACACACAGAGACAAGGACAGGGACAAGGAGTACATAATGGTTGAGACATGAAACCACACTGCTAGAAATGCATGAATGATACCTAACAGGTCTAGTGAGTAGTGAGCACAGTGTTACTACAGATAAGGAGAAGATGACTGAGACATTGACTAAAACACATGGTTGAGACATTAAATAGTACTGTAAGGAATGTATGAATAATACCTAACAGGTCTAGTAAGTACAGTGTTACTACAGATAAGGAGAAGACAACTGAGAAGGTCTTGTTTGACTAACAGTAGGCTGGGTGTCAGAGGTGATAGGAGTTGTTTAATGGTGTGAGTGAAAAGGAGTATGAAAGTTAGAGTGTATAATAAAGAGAACTCAACAACTCTTCAGTTATGCTAGCATCTGTTGCTTGGGGGATGACTGAGACATTGATCAAAATGCATGGTTAAGAAGTGAACAGCCATCCTTAAGTGTGTGTCAGTACTAGGAGGAGTAGAAGGACCAGGTTGACAAAATTGACATACTAGTTCTGAGGGTGATGAGAGTACAGGTGGTGTGTGGGTAAAACAGAGCATGTAGAGGCAACAGGGGGTCTGTTCATGCCAGAAGGACAAAGGGGGACAGGACAGGACAGGACAGGACAGGACAGGACAGGACAGGATAGGACAGGACAGGACAGGACAGGAAAGGACTGGATGACACTAGTAGAGCATAATCCCTAGCTAGGTCCATGACTAGGAATGACACTAGCAGGGGCTTAATACCCTGGCTAGGTCTGGGACTGGAGGTGACACTAGTAGAGGCCCTAGATGTCCAGGACTAGGATTAACACTAGTAGGGGCTTGGTACCCTAACTAGGTCTACAACTAGAAAAGGGACTTTATACCCTAGGAAACAGGAGGTGACACTAGTAGAGGCCCTATACATCTGGGACTGGAATTGACACTAGTAGGGGCTTAGTACCCTGACTAGGTCCACAACTGGAAAAGGGGCTGTATACCCTAGGAAACAGGAAGGGAAGGGAAAAGGACTTTATACTCTCAGTAGATAGTAGACAATAACAGTAGACACTAGACAGTGACAGAGTAAGAGATAGTATAGTAAGGAATAGACAGTCTTAATGAACACCTTGACAATAGAGAGATATGTGTTACAGTAGGTACAACAAGCATACAACAAATACACTGTAGTTGATAGCTTGATTGTAATGTCTGTTGTACTAAGATTAATATAAGACATTATCTGTCAGTGTGGAATTCACAGCTCCTGAAGAGAATTATGCTACAGTTCCAGATATTAGTAACAGTATCAAGATAGTGCTTCCTTACACAATTTCAGGACCAGCATCATTCTTAGAATTAAGGAGCTCAAGTTTGATTGTTCTCTGGTTTAAGGTTGTAATGAGTAGTAGGGGAAGCATGAGTAGAGACAGACATAGATAATCTGCTCAAAGTGGTACAGCAAAAGCATATTCTTGAGTGGCAGAACCTTGATTGTAGACAGCTGACCAGATGCACAATGATACACAATGCACACAACTCTGGCACAACCACACACACTCTTCTTGATACATTCTCCTAGAATCCAGGGACCAATCTGGCAAGGGTCTGTTAGGAGAGGGTAGCACAGTGAAGGCAGATAACAATGTCCTCATAAGCTCTCAAGAGTGAACAGAATATTGAACAGGATCTCAGTGTGACAATTGTGAAGCTTGTAATTAACTAGGGTCTTACTGTAGAGTACTGTAGATGTGTAGTAGATAGTGGATGTGTGGGGGGAAGCCAGGGGGAGGCTGACAATCTGGTGGCACAAGTGAAAGGCAGCAGATGAGAGGTAATCCCCAAATTTTGCAATGTTCAAAAAAAAGTGTAAAGGCCAGAGCCTCACTCAAGAACACAGAACAGGCAAAGACCTGGGATTGATGAGAGGTCAACCTAAGTACAGGAGCAAGTACAAAGATAATCTCTAAGTGTCTACAAATAGCCCTTTATATACTTAACTAAAGTCATGTGTGTAACCTCAGAGGTTACATATATCTAACATACAGCTTACTATAATCCTGAGAGTTCTGAGAGTTCTGTTTCAGAACTCTCTTGTACAGTCTTAGGCCACACATATAGTTTCCTTTCTCACTTGTACTACACATCCCTTTAGCCTGAGCCACTTTCCTTTCTTCTCTAGTATATAAAGCTTATGTTTATACCTTTGTTACACTAGTTCTTGTTTACTGACTGTAACAAAGGTGTGTCTTATTATGTACAACCAGTTCTTATTTACTAACTGTAACAAAGATACCTTTTTCCTGTCAGTCTTTGTGTGTCCCACAATCTTTGAGCTCAGTGTTTAGCACTCTACCAGTACTGTTCTAATATACTATAATTCCTCTTTTCTAACAATCCCTCTTTTCTAATTTTACATTCACACACAAACTACTTTACTTTAAGTTACTAAAAAATTCATGAAAATGTAATTTTACTATATAAAATATAATATGTTTTTTTTCTGTAAAAAAATTCATGGAGAAATTAAAAATCTGTAAATACTATTATTTTCAGTAGTCATTCACATTATAATTAGCCCTCTTAATTTTTCCAATGAATATTTTAGTATGATGATATTACAAAACAAAATCATACATACATACATGCTTATATTTAAAATCTTGAGAGTTTAACTGTTTTCCATGAATTATAATTGAGTAAAGACTGTTTGAGAGTGACAAAAGGTGACAATTATGCTAAGGTAATGTAACAATTTAGCACAAGCAGAGAGCTTTACTGAGCTCGGATCTATGTGACATGGTGTGACAAAATTGGAAAAGAGGGATTGTATCCCTTCACAGCTCAGAAAAAATCATAAAAATTTTTTTGAAAAGAGATTTTGATTTATTATGCTCTAATCTTTGTACATGAAAAATTTAAAGCCAAAATGTCCACAATGTGACCTGCATGACTGTGACATAGAACAGAAGTTGTCAATCGTCGATCAGTTTCTACATCCAATTCCACCTCTTTCCCTTGCCAAACGACACAGTCAAATTATTCAACTTTTACACCAGTCTGTCCCTTAGTCTTTATGATTATCCTATATTAACCATCTTGTTTCCCCTCACTTCGTTCAGTGCCAGAGCTTTCTGCCGAAGTTATCGAGGAGTACATTTGCTTTGCTCGGACCTACCAGGAGGCTCAGAGCTCCGCCGACAACGACGACGCTGTCTCTCCGACCATCACCGCGTCGGCCTTCTCCTCTCTGGGCTTTGGCAGTGATGCTGTGTCTAGCACTACTTCCTATTTGCCTGATCCGCATGCTGTCTCCAAGGCAGAGGCTCTGTCGTACTACGCAGGCCTCCCTTCTGAGCCCACGCTTATTTACCGCACGGGCAAGGAGCAGTGGTCCCTGCCTAGAGGACCTGAGGCCCAACGCCGTTTGAAGGAGCTGCGAGAAGTTTTCGACCATCCGATTACGAAGGTCTGGCACCACGACTTAGCCTGGAAGGTTGTTTCTGTTATGGACGATCACAAGGTTAGTAAATATCCATCATATTGTAGAATTTGCTAATTGGGATTTCTAGATTCTCTTTACGACAATAGACATTGTTCGTTTCAAGAATGTCGAGGTCGACGAAGCGCCCGAGGACGAAGAAGAGGGCGAGGATGAAGAAACGGTCGAGGCTAAAAAACCGGTCCTCAGTCCCGTCACAATCTGGATTGGCGTCTTCCCTGAGTCTACCACCGCTACGGCTGCCCACCATGCAGCTCAGAGTATCTTAATCCTTCTCCAGAAGTACCAGATCACCGACGTCGATGTTGACTTCCGCGAGTCCATCTACACGCGTGACGTCGGTCCTCGGCTTCTCAAACCCGTCGAGGACCTGGACCCAATTGTCGACGTCGTTAGTCCCCTCACCCCTGCCCTCGGTCTCTGCATCTCCACCAGGACCAGGCCCAACGCTCAGGGAACCATGGCCCTCTACCTCGCTGAAGGTGGCGGCAGTGATAGGCTCTTGGGCCTTTCGTGCCGTCACGTCCTCATTGGATCCCAGGAAGGCAACCTCGACTACTCTTACCACCCCAGTGCGCCTGCTAGAGATGTCCTCCTACTCGGTAAGAGGGCTTACGCTGACGTCGTCGATTCGATCAAACTCGCGATCGCAGACCACGGAAACTCGATCAAGCGTTGGAGGAAGCAGATTGAATCATTCAAGGAAAGGGAGAAGGGTAAAGACGCTACCGACGTTGCGAAGGCTGAGGCACGTCGGATTGAGACTGAGGGGTTGGTGGACAAGGCGGTGAAGGCAATGGGGGAACTTGGAGAGTTGCTCGATCGGGTCAACAAGGAGTGGAAGAAACTCGACAACCGTGTCATTGGCCACATCCTCCGCTCCCCTCCCATCTGTCTCGGCGTCAGTGAGCAACATTTCACGGAGGATTGGGGAGTTTTCGTGGTCGACCGGACCAAGCTCGGTGACGGTTTCCAGGGCAATAAAATGGATCTCGGTGTGTATTGACTGTCCGACTAAGACCGTCTACTAACCTAAATGTTGTTTATATCTAGGAACGAAGATGTCGTCCACCGAGTTCAAGAGAAAGTGTTTCCCCCGCAGAGATGCTAACTGGGAGTTCGAATATCCCGAAGATCGTCTACTTCCACTTAAGGGAGTCATCACCGACGACTTGATGCGTGCCCCCGACATGTGGGACTCGAACGGCGAAGCATGCTTGTTGGTTGCCAAGAGGGGTAATGCCACTGGCACCACTCTCGGCCGTGCGAATGGCATCTTCTCCATTGTTCGCAACTACTTTAACGACATGTCTATCAACCAAACCTCGTTGGAGTGGTGTATAATCAACTACGGCAACAAGTCGGGCGTCTTTTCGGAACCCGGCGATTCAGGCTCAATCATTGCTGACATCTCTGGCCGTATCGGTGGCATGCTTACTGGCGGTTCTGGTAAGTCCAAGACCCTCGACACGACCTACGCCACGCCGTTCTGGTGGCTTCTCAAACGTATCCGGGACAGCGGGTTCCCCAATGCCCACCTCAGCGTCATTGTCTAGGCATCTTGATATTGACAAGGAACGCCTTTAATGTTTGTCTATTTTCCGTCTCGTCGTCTCGTACTTACTTTAATGACCTTGACGTCTAGGCCTTGGACTAGTGACTTGTCGTTTGGGTTCGTCTTGTTACTTCACCCTCCTTTCGCAGAACTGACAGCCTTGACGTCCAGTTCCATACGACTCGACATGGTTCACTGGACTGTCAGACACGCTCGCCACATTCGAGCAGTATCTGGTAGGTTTACGCAGGCGTCAACGTGTCTTACTGTAGCTTCTTGTTGTTTGGACACTTGTAACTTCACCATGTATTTTTATTCCCCTCCACACTCGTCTGCCTATGCCCATTGTTCGTCTATCCAGTTGTGTTGTCTGTTCCCCCTCGTATATTGTCTGTTCCCACTATTCTATCCCTGCTCATCCTTTGGTAAATTGGTATTAGACAAGGTTGTCAAGACTTGTCATTAATCACTATGTAGACTTGTACAACATAGCTGTCCTCACCCTATCCTTGTGTGCTTGTTTTGTGCTGAAAATAAGTGCTACAATCTGTTGACTTTCCTCAGGCCACACAGTGTTCTTGTTACACTACTTTCTAAATGTTAGAATTGTAGCACATACAATATTGTCACTCTAATGACTGCTACAATACTTGTCTGTTCAAAACACTTCTGGTTTTTGTCCTAGTCACTAGGTATGCCTTGATTGTTTTTAGGATGTTTTGAGAGCATGATTTTTGTTAACTCCAGTTTGGTAGCTCCTACAGGGACTTACTCAAGTTACCTTACTCAAATTTACAGTCTAACAAGTCCTGATCTTAACATGTTAGTAGTGAGTGTTTACACAATGTTGTTAATGATACCTTCTCTTAGCTTTCAGATAGTCTTCCAAGCATCAAAGCTATCTACTTAGAAAGCTCCTTGTGTAATACTACTCCTTAGTTACCTATTATACCTTATAGCTACTTCTAACTGATTTATGTTAGTGACAGTGTAGAGGGGACCCAAAGGTTCAGCAAGGGGACCTAGGCTACAACTATCCTATACAATAGAAATAACAGGATGTGAGTACTAGAATGTAGTCAGAACTTGTAGAACAGACAGGTAGAGAGAGTAAGACAAGTGTAGAGTATATAAATTGAGCTTAAGAGTACAGGACTACCTAGAGTAGACAAGATCAAGACTATAGGACTAGTCTGATTGTAAGATATACTCACTTTACTAGTTCTAATTCTTAGGAATAGTAACAGAATAGAGTATAAAGGGTAAGACTTGTAGACTTGTAGAGTGAGAGGGTAGAGGAGTCCTGCTTTAGTCAAGCTGCAAGTGTAGCCTAGTAGGTTAGTAGTAGAGTACTTCCAAGTACTAGGTAACTTAAGTTGATAAAACTATCTTTTGAGGGCCAAACTGGCCTCCTTATATACCTTTTGCTAGAGTAATGTTACTCTAGTAACTTTAGTAACTCTCTTCACTATTGTTCCTATAAAGTAGAGCTGGCTAATCCTTTAGACTGTATACTACACTAGTTTGTGTCTTCTATTAATCTTCTAACACTTGTTTGTGTCTTCTTGTATCCTAGATTAATCTTCTAATGACTCCTTTACTGTATTGTTATGTCTTCCATACTTCCTCTCATACTTCTAATGACTCCTTATAAGTCCTCCTGACTAGTTATACTGTGTAAGTTGTGTAATACTTTTCCTATAAAGTAGAGCTTTCTATTGTTCTTATAGTCTTCTTATGACTCTGTCTGACTCAACCTGTACTTCTTGTATACTAGTTTGTAATACTCTTTCTTATAAGGTAGAGTATTATGACTTCTAATGACTCTTTATAACTTCTGTAATATAAAAGACTGTACTTTTGTACTACCCCTAGAACTTACAACCAAAGTTCTAGACTACCTTGTGTACACTCTAGAACTGACAACCAATGTTCTAGATCTTTCCCTAAGTCTTCTTCAATAGACTTAGTTTAGGAGACAATTATCCTTATTAACTTCTAGCCTTATCTTTATACTTCTGTATTCAATCATAGAACTTACAACCAAAGTTCTAGATTGCCTTATGTATTCCTTATGTTGTCCTTATATAGTCCTCATGTTTATGACTTCATTACTTTCCTATCTATATGGGCAAAGTGTATAAAGGAGACTACTTTCCTATAATCTCTCTTTAGAGCTCTTAGTTCCTTTCCTTTACACTAGTACTAGTCCTCCTCAAGTATAAAGCTTTAGAGTACTGGCTCTAACTCTTTACTAGCTTTGATAGTCCTTTGTCTTTATATAAAGAGTTCCTAGCTAGTTATATAGTTTCTCCTATAAGTAAGTATAATATTTTCCTTTATCTCTTAAGGTTTTCTCCTAGTCTTTCTCTACCATTCTTCTTACTTTAGATACTATACTCTTTCCAGATCCCCTCTCTATACAAGTATTCTAAATGACTTGTCTTTAGTTGAGGTTATTAAGTAATACAGTACTAGAGTATGTGTTTGACCTTAGAGAGATAAAGACCTTGTTTACAGGTTTTGTTACCTTTTCCTAACTGACTTAGTACTTACTCCTTCCTGTCCCCTCTCTCTACTAATAGATTGATCACCCATTAGTAATGATTAGAGGTTAATAATGCTGAGTTAGAGTTCTTACTAAGTAGGACAACAAAGATAGCCTAGTTGATCTAGCTAATCTCTAGACTTGTAACTAATAGAGTTTTGTTTATAAACTACTTGGTTCCAAGTCTTGAGTTAGGCTTTCTAAACTTAGTTACTGTATTTTACAATTACTAACATTCAGTCCCTCCTAAGTAATACTTTCTTAAACAGTATTACTACTATTGTAAAATACTTACTTTATAATTAATAGGTTGGGATTTAATTTAGGGTAGGATTTGTGTCCTTCCCCCCTTTCTTTTTCCTTTGTCTTGTATGTCCTGTACTAGTATCTTTTCCTTTAGATACTTTTCTTTTCATAGTCTGCCTCTTTTGTATTCTGTATTAAAGTAAATATAAATGTCTTTTCCTTTCATTTCAGCTTTTACAGCTTACTTTCATAGCTGAAAAGTGAGAGCCACACTTGTGAGTATAGTTTTCCTTTTAATAGTTGTAACTAGTAAACTTATTAAAAGGGCTTCTACCTTTACCTTAGTTACTATAATTCTGCTTTCAGTGTTAGTCTACA